TCAGCAAGTTACGTAACAACCACAGCTTATATGAAGTTGCGGTGAAATGGAATATCTAAGAAATACATTTTGACGTTATTTGCTGTTCCGTAGGTAGTGTGATGGCACCCAAAATTGATCGCTTTTCGGAAGAATGTGTAACAACCCTTTGCAATACAAAATATTAATACACTCAGATCTTAAAGATGTGTTCAGATCAGGGATTTCGAATTTCCAAGATGGGGATATTCCTTGTACTTTGTGGCACTGGAAAACAATGGAACATGGATCACCTTGGGGAATAAGGATCATAAAGAAAGAGGCCTGCAACAAATCGTATCCTAGCTGTGGTAAGTACAATGCTGTATCTTTAACAGATGAGAATCCACGAACACAAAGGTCAGTGGCAAAAACCATTTACGCGACCAGGTAACAATACACAACATAATCTAGAAAGATCTCCGTCCGGAAAGGCGACACAAGTAAAAGTGTACGTACGTTGCTTCCATGACATATTTGTTCAAACGTCGCATATTTCAAGTAGCTGGAGAATTAAATGGGCATTCATGCTATTCCATACGAAGATATACCAGTTACATCGATGGAAACAGCCCCTATGAAATGTGCACCGGGAAACCGTCCTCCTCGTACACTATATGACTTATGGAAACCCTATAGGGAGGAGAAGTGTGCTTTAGACATGACACTCTTACGACGGACCCTTTCGCAATGGAAAATATGCCGCAGGCCTATTGTCAAGGTTCACGGTTGTCAGATAAAGCATGACTGGACGTGGTGCCATAGATTTTAACGAAGTGGTGAGGCTCCCAGCTTCTTTTCATATGACATGCTGAGCATACGGTTACTTGATGGTTCTGTGCGTAATATAGTCGTACATTTAATGCACGTACCAATTAATAAACTTCAGTAAACATCCGGTTCTTTCAACAACAGTATTTTAAATAATACAGAGAAGTACGAGTCAATAAAGGTAGTTCCAAAAGAAGTACATAAAAAAATCTAATTCTGAAAGGTGTAAGGACTTTTCATACAATTAACTTGCTCATGGTAATAAAGCAGCTAGCTAGCTCTGCGTACATCATTTCCTGACAGAATAGATTGTCGTGTACGCATGCGTGACACTTTTGTAACGTTAAAACAATAAAAAGACTGTTTTTATTTTCATTGATACCAGTTGAGCTCTTCCTCGACATATCATTAGGTTAATAAAAATTCTAATAAATAGTACTATTAGAAAACAGACTAGCCAGTTATTCAAGCAATTCAAAATAGAGCTGTTGACCTAATTGGAAGATTTTAAAGCTTTATTTATGTAGTCAAAAATGTAGCTTACACATAATCATTATGAGCGTTTTAATTATGAGAAGATGGTGTCCAGCTGAGAAAACTTGTTTTAACCATAAATATGTTATATCTATGATGTAAATAATTATCCAAATCTAATCACTGAACATGTGCTACATACAAATCAAACATGTTTGAAATAACCCAAAAAGCTAGTACAGTAACCAGGGTTTTGGTTTCCCCGAGCTCGTTGATGATGACAAACTATTCTCGCGTTGCATACAACTGTGTCATGTGATTACCTCACGAGAACGAACACGGTTTCGAGAGTTTAGTTTGTCATATGTGCAAAGTCCCAGATCTTTCTAAAACATAAAAAAAAGGGTTGCTACAGACACTAGACATTTTTTTTTCAGTTACCAAAACGATATACGCACATGTCTCAACCCGTTATCTAAAAAGCATTTGTTTGCTTAGGATTTCATTTTATTACCCACTTTTATCGTAACTTTAGCATGATATTTTGTTTGACAGAGAGCTTAGATTACGTTGTGTTTAAATCAGGGCCGTAGTCAGGATTTCATTTTATTACCCACTTTTATCGTAACTTTAGCATGAGAGCTTAGATTACGTTGTGTTTAAATCAGAGTCGTAGTCAGGATTTCATTTTGAGAGGGTGATGTGTCTAAACCCCCCCCCCCAAAAAAAAAAATAATTTTTTTTCAAAATACAAGAGAGTAATATAAGTAAAATATAATACTTGAAAAATATGTATGTGAAATATAAAATTCATATGTATATAATATCAGTTCTTCATGCTTTAGAAAAATGTCTTTTTTTCTCCCTCTCTCTCTCTTTTTCTCGGAAATAAATAAATTTCGGGGGTTATCCCCCCAGTCTACGGCCCTGGTTGAAATTAACACAAAAACTCGTGTGCAATGTAAAATAATCATTGAAAAACATGTATTTTGATAAACCTCAATACTGTAACTAGTAGCACAACCGAAATGTTGTATTAATATCGAATATAATGAATTTGTTGACACCCCCTCACCCCCAGTTTGTATGAAGATGTTAGCATCCTAATATGTCTGAATTTCATTACTATTATGTTAACGATAGGAAGACGAATCTCATACACATACTGGCACGTGCGCGTAAACCGATGAAACAACAATGGACTACCAATATTATAGATATGCAAAACACCGCAAGGACATGTCACAGGCACGAGTCTACACCACCCGGAGCATTGGAGCGAAAGGTGTCGGCTGACATGCCGCCCTAGCCTATATAAAACTAGTTATTGATTTCTGTAAGAGAATCGTAAAATCATGGTCTCGTACGTGATAAGAAACAATATACGCGATCATTATCTGTTGAAACACTAACTTAATGATGTAAAATAAGGTTCCCTCATCAATGAAGAAACAAAATTGTTGCAATAAAACGATTTTTGGTATAAATCGAGTTTTTTAAAGGTTAACTTTGAATGTTCGTAGATATGAAAACCATTTTGTGTCCTTACGCTGACGATTTACAAAGATTTTTAGAGAGGCATGCGATTTGACACTAAATATTATACGTTTCCACAGGAAAATATTATATTTTAGCCCACAAACTTGAGAAAAAGGGTGTTTCAGATAGCCCGTAAGTTCAATACATCCAATTACTCAATAACTAAACTTAAAAATTTAAATGAGTATTGAAAAAAAATCACTACGTTAACGACCTTCAAAACAAACTTTTAGTATTCTGATGGACGAATTGGCGATAAATTTTTTGGAAAATGTACATTAATGTACTAAACGTATAAGGTACAAAACGTTTAGAGAACATCAAATACTAGGACATAAAACAATGAAGCTTGAAAGAGTATTCACTAAAACAACGAATCTTTCAATCTATGTTACATCACCACTTAAAACGTGTGCATTGTTAATTACTTCACAAAAGTAACTTTGTTTTATTATTGCGTGCATTTTAATTTAAGAACTACATTGACATTTTAGTTCGTTTTATCTTACAGGTATCCAGGAAACGCACGAACATAAAATACCTGTTAAAGGATATATTTGTAAAATCTCTAAGTAAACTTACTACTACCACGTTACACTAAATATTTTAATACGCACAGGAGCTGTTTAGCGTTTAGTTAAAAAAAAAACTCAAATATTCCTGCGTAAATGAAAAAAATTATCATACGAAACAACATTAAACTTCCTCTATATAGCCCCCCCCCCCAAGGTTTATAACGCAAAAAAAAACAGGATTTCTATGCTGGCTGCCTCATTGTGTAGCTTTGTGCTTACCAAACAAACTAACAAAACCTGTATACAGGCATGAGAATAAAGGAAGCCATCGTATAGACACACACAACTTGAAACTTACTCTTTATATGTACACATGAAACGGAAAAAACCTTCATATACTCAGCTTGAAATTTCCTTTGTATATAGGTACAAGATTAAAGAACGTGGCATTTATTGTAAATAACTCCAAGCAAAAAGAAAAACCCCGACGTACAGAACGCGAAACTTCCTGTATACGATTAAAATTAAGTCATACACAAACGTAGCATTTCCTGTAAATATATACACACACAAGTACAAAAAGTAAAACGAAATTTTATATAAATACAAAATCAAACTTTCATATACAAAACATTGTGAAATCCTATACGTAAGTACAACAAAAAAGATATATATACAGACACAAAGTGAAATTTCTTGTGCATAAATATTTCAAAAATAAAACATTCATATTCACACCATAAAACTTCCTGTGTTTAACCAACGATAGGTGGTAAGCCTTTACATACACAACATGGAATCTGCTTATAAGAAAGATAAAAAACCTGTTTAAGTAAACGAACATCAAATGTCATTTATAAAGAACAGGCAAGTATAAAACATCTTCATATACTACCAGTTTGAAATTTATTAAGTACAAGGATGAAAACACACAACATGAAATAGCCCGAGAAAAAGCTCTGAAATAAAAATAACGTTATTCTTATGTTTAAATAAAGATTAAACCATAAAGGTCTTCATACACAGATAAAGTAACACTTCATGTGTGTGTGTGTGTGTGTATCTCTATAATATATATGTCTGCGTCTATGAGTACAATGTTGAAGTAAAGTCACCGCTTAAAATTCGAGAAAACACCCAAATGTAAAAAAAAACAAAAAAACTTCATATAAGCAGAAGAGTACAGGAGAATCCTCGCTCACAGATAAATAAAATTAGTTAGTGTAAACAATGCATACAAACCTAAGTAACACATAATGACATTCCTCTACTTACATGAATGAAGACATTCTATGATAGTCGCCACTAGAAAGTCCTACCACACATAATGACATTTCTCTACTTCCATAAATGAAGACATTCTATGATAGTCGCCACTAGAAAGTCCTACCACACATAATGACATTCCTCTACTTACATGAATGAAGAGAAGACGTTCTATGATAGTCGCCACTAGACAGTCCTACCACACATAATGACATTTCACTACCTCCATGAATGAAGACATTCTATGATAGTCGCCACTAGAAAGTCCTACCACACATAATGACATTACTTTACTTACATGAATGAAAAGAAGACGTTCTATGATAGTCGCCACTAGAAAGGTCTTACCACATATAATAACATTCCTCTACTTACATGAATGGAGACATTCTATGATAGTTGTGGCATCCACAAAATAGCCGCCACACAGCACGCAAGTCAAGTATGGGTTCACCTCCATCACACGAAGACGAGGTGGCCGGTACATGATGTGTCGGCCCAGCGGCCAAGAACGGTACCACTACGGGTTGACAAAAAATCACAACCTATATAACAGCGTTCGCTGATACAACAGTCGTCCTGTATAGAAAATGAAAAACATTTGTCACTAACCACTTAGAAAATAGTAAAGGCTTCGAATTTTAAGATAAAAGCACACTTAACATTCATATCAATTTACGAGTAAATTAACATAAAAGGAACTATGGGTATAAGAAAAGTTGACCTGCCTTCAAATTAAACTAACCATATTGGACAAATCATTATTTCACAATAACACTTTGGCATGACAAAGAAAGCAATGTGTTATTGCATGGTGAGTGATGTATTTAACATATACAATTAAACTATTTGAAGTGTTATACATTGTACATACAATAGCATTATTACATATTTATTTAGAGTTTTCTGGGGAAGTTTTCTGAAATTTAATTAAACCTTATATAAGTACAAACCGATTTCATTGTATCTCATTCACCAAAGTAAATAGCATAGAAGAAGCCTACAAGAAACACCGGTTGTGGCTTCTCTGAAATAGATTCTAAACTTCGTTTGTGATCACAACGTCATTTCCAGGTTCTAAACTTCATTGTGTAATCACAACGTCATTTCCAGGTTCCAAACTACATTGTGTGATCACAACGTCATTTCCAGGTTCTAAACTTCATTTTGTGATCACAACGTCATTTCCAGGTTCCAAACTTCATTGTGTGATCACAACGTCATTTCCAGGTTCTAACTTCATTGTGTGATCACAACATCATTTCCAGGTTCCAAACTTCATTATGTGATCACAACGTCATTTCCAGGTTCTAAACTTCATTGTGTGATCACAACGTCATTTCCAGGTTCTAAACTTCATTGTGTAATCACAACGTCATTTCCAGGTTCCAAACTACATTGTGTGATCACAACGTCATTTCCAGGTTCCAAACTTCATTGTGTGATCACAACGTCATTTCCAGGTTCTAAACTTCATTGTGTGATCACAACGTCATTTCCAGGTTCCAAACTTCATTATGTGATCACAACGTCATTTCCAGGTTCTAAACTTCATTGTGTGATCACAACGTCATTTCCAGGTTCCAAACTTCATTATGTGATCACAACGTCATTTCTAGGTTCCAAACTTCATTTTGTGATCACAACGTCATTTCCAGGTTCTAAACTTCATTGTGTGATCACAACGACATTTTCAAATTCTAAACTTCATTTTGTGGTCACAAAATCATTTCCAGATTCTAAACTTCATTTCATGATCACAACGTACGTCCAGATTCTAAACTTTATTGTATGGTCACAAAGTCATTTATAGATTCTAAACTTTATTGTATGGTCACAAAGTCATTTATAGATTCTAAACTTTATTGTATGGTCACAAAGTCATTTATAGATTCTAAACTTCACAATGCAATCACGACGTCATTTCCAAATTACATTACAAGCATCGAACGTACCGTGTCTTGTATCATGACATGCTAATAAGGCATTTCCCGTTCAACACAATTATTACAGTAACAGTGATCCTTTTCATATGTCACCCAATCTATAATAAACTCAATCAAGACATATTTCACTCAGTAGTAATGAAAAAAAAAAAAAAATGTTAAAGCACACGTCTATAACAAAAACGTTTTTCATTATTACTTGCAACGTTTCGGGCAGAAGCTCTTCGTCAAGCAATATAAATTGTGTTACATGGAAAAAATACGGTTTATACTGCCTGACGAAGGACTTCTGCCCGAAACGTTACAGGTAATAATGAAAAAAGTTTTGTTATAGACGTGTGCTTTAACATTTTTTCATTATTTTTCCACGTTTTGCGGTCTTTTCTACTGTGAGTAATTTAAGTCACAATATTCTCATACAAATTAATATCATAAAAGTATGATAAAAAGATGTATAGCAATGTTCATAACAAGAATAATAGCTAACCAGGAAAATTTACACAGGTTTACGATCAAGCTTATTGGAAAAGTAATAAGTTACAGTCATTATAGATAAACAATTTTTTTTTTCATTCTCGTACAGTTCTGTGAATATCTATATCTCTCTAGAGGCGTCGCTTGACACTGGCACTAGAGGCCCGTGCCCCAATTCTATTTAACAGTGCCTCGAATCTCCAGTTGGTGTCTTGAAAAATCAGAATACAAAACCATGATCGATATAATACAAAAACGCCGAAAATTCCCGCACCTATGGGACCGAGCACCGAATCTTTTAAGCACCTAGCGACGCCTCTAAATCCCTGTTTGTTAAACATTAGGTTATCTCTTAAAAGTCAAATAATGATCAATTCCACAAACTTAATGGTGTAGGTGTAAAAGAAGGCAATTAAAATGAAAGGCATGATTATTTAAACAAAGATGCTTGCGAGACATCGTAATTTTATATAGGGGTTAGTGTATTACGACTTCCAGAAAATATGGCAGTTATAGACTATAAATGAAGCATTTTCTAAAATATATATGGTAAAATGCGGACATGCAGTGTACGATAGCCTTAAAATTATTAACAGGTTAGGTTAAACTGCCCCCACTAGACCTGGGGGGTGCTACCCCCTTGTCCCTCTGCCTATGTTTTTTTTTTTTAATCACTAACAGTAACAAAACAGTAAACTAGAAGCCCAGTTTTAGTAACTACCTTATTTTGGTTCCAAAATACGGTTGAGTTACATGTGTAGTTTTGGTTAGGCGATAAAATGTATTTACATATAATAAAGGATTAATTTAAAAGGTATGCTTGTCTATTGGATAAATACTCACTGACATGAAGAGCTACAGAGAAATGGGTCCTCAACAGTGTACGCTAGTCTTGATGGAAATAACAAAATCCACATGTCTTTAATAGTCTGCTCTAATACCCAATATCAAATCCCACTAAAAAAAGATGAAATACTCGGGGTGGCTGCACCGGCCTAGCAAGCTGATTCTTGCCATTCAGTTTCACTTGTCACGAGAGAGAGAGCGCGGCTACCGGCGACCCTAACCCCTCCCACTATGGGTCCCGCAGAATACACAGGCTTTGAGCCAGCTGACGGCAAGCTTTGCATCCTCACACGACGTGCCTGCAGGCAGGGCACCGCATTTGGTGAGAGGGGCGATGTATATAAATACTGTATTTGTGCCGTGCACAGGCTACAGTGAAGAGTTAGTCTTTCGCAGCTTTGGAGAAGGATAGGGCAATTAATGCTATCGATCTCCTATACAATGGCTGAAATACGTCGTATCACGCTCTGTTTTCACAGTCGATTGGCCCACTATCTTATACCACATTCCCTACCGCTAGAATTGTACTCAAACGTTAAGTTTTAGTATATATGCAATCATACGCAATTAAGCTTTTTTTTATGTTTGTTTGTTTGTAATTAAGCACACAGCTAAACAATGTGCTCTGCCCACTACGGGTATCGAAACTAGGTTTCTAGCGTTGTAAGTCCGCAGATATACCACTGTGCCACTGGGGGCTTAAGCTTCTTTTTTTTTGCGAAACCCATAGGACTCCGTGGTTAAGAACCCATAATGAATCCGGAGACAAAATATAATTAACACAAGTTTCATGACAAGTTATTATTCTCCAAATTAGAAGTTCTTATGAATAAAAAAAATACTAATTCATATAAGAAAGGAATTATATAAATGGTTTAAAATTGTAGAGAATATCATATATGTTTGTTGGTTGGTGCAGTAATTCCAAGAATATAAATATAATTTGCACTGTCTTACAATAACATTACAATAACAACTATTTAATTATAATAATACTGTGTGAAGGTAGTGCAAAGAAGGAAAAAACATGTAAATTTGTCTTGGTAAAAATGCTAAAACTTATTGTGTGTGTTTTAGAGTAAGGCTGAAACTAGCCGAAAATATGCAATCTGTAAGCGGAAGACTTTTTTGGGTGAAGTTGAAACTAGTTCTGTGTATATCTTCAGGTGCACGAGATTCTACGTCATTATTCCAAAAGACATAATAGTCTGAAATGTATATTCAGACGAGAGAAATAAGTGCTCAAACCCTGCAGTTCAGTTTTTATCCTGTCATAAACAGATAACATGTGTACTTTCTTAATAATCTACTTTATTTTTCGGCTAACAAGCGAACATTTATATGACTACCGTTGATGTGAAACAAGTCTTTGACTCAAGTTATACCAGGCTCATTATAATTAGCAAGTGATACTGAAATCACATATGGCTACCGTTAATGTGAAACGAGTTCTTGACTCAAGTTATCTCAAGCTCGATATAATTAGCAAGTTATCCTGACAGGTAAGGGATCTGAACCATTTTAAAAAGTGCTGGTTTGGAGGGGAAAATATATTTTAGTTATTAGATATTGCCCTATGTTTCAAAATGTTAATAATAATTTATTTTACATTTAAATTGTGTTAGCCAATATTTCATAAAAAAAAATCAACTCATAAATGTTACTTTATGTTTGTGATGTTTCATCGAACTGTGCGGTAAATTTAAAACGTTTTGTTTAGAATTTTAACAATTTGCTGTATTGTCTTTAACTTTAGAAAGAAACTCACACTCTAAGTAGCTTTATCACCAGAGGACGTAACTTACTAACTGTGAAGGTTCAAAGTTGTCTACAATTTTTAGTTATTTATAATTTAAATGAGAGAACACAGAGACAAACACACCATATTATCAAGACGCCTGATGTAGACGTAGCTCAACTACGATGATGTCATAGTTTCTTTTATATACCAAAGTGACCTGGATCTTCTTGCAAAGTATTATTAATATTCTGTCGTAACAGCTTTATAACCCTTATGCGTGTTCCCGGGATTTCTGCTATGACCCGTATTGTAGTGGGCAGCTCCGTGACCCATGGTGATTGCTTGGTCATGCAGCTGCTAAGTAACGGGATAACTCAGGGTTAGTGTTCTTTTCATCTCCTAGTTCTTCGACTTCTTGGCGGTGGGAGGCTAATGCACTGAAAAATGTATAGCATACGTCATACCCAACACCCTTGACCCACTCCCCCAAAGCTCCAGGGAGGTGGGAATGACGAATTCGAATCATATGGCAATGTCAGCACGTAGTTTTAGTAAATCTTTTTTTTATTTTG